AAACATGAAAATGAATATAAAATTCATATAATAACAAAAAATGTATATGCAGTTATGGTCAAAAATATTGGCACCCCTGCATTTCTGTCAGAAAACCACTTTGTCCAGAAAATTGTTGCAATTACAAATGTTTAGGCATTCACGTGTTTATTTATTTTGTTTATAATGGTATGAAAGTGGGAAAAAAAAGTGGAGAAGCAAAAAGCCAAATCTGACACACCCCAACCAAAACTCTAAAAATAGAATGGACAAAATTTTTGGCACCTTCTCAAAACTGTAAAAAATAATTGCATTCCAAGTTTGTGATGCTTCTGTAATTTGTGATTAAACTCACCTGTATCGATTAACAGGTGCTGACAATATAGAAATCACATTGACAACCAGATAAAATGGTGAAAAACTGAATAAACCTTTCTGTTGTGTGTCTCTGTGTGCCACGTGGAGCAAGGAGAAGAGAAAGAGCAGCAAAAAATTGTCTGAGGATTTGAGAACATAAATTGTGGAAAATCTCAATGTTACAAGTCCCTCTCCAGAGATCTTAATGTTCCTGTGTCTACTGTGCACAACATTGTCAAGAAGTTTACAGCCCATGGCACTGTAGCTAATCTCCCTGAATGAAAGAGAAAAATTATCAAAGATTGCATTGAAGGATTGTTTGAATGGTTTATAAAGAAACTCGATTAACTTCCAGATAAATTTGAGCTGACCTTGAGGCATGTACAACTGTGTCAGCTCACATTATATGTCGCCATCTGAATGAAAAGGAACACTATGGTAGGAGACTCAGGAGGACCCCCACTGCTGACACAGAAACATAAAAAAGCCAGAGGAAGCAGAAATCCTTTTTGGTAGAGTGTGCTGTGGACAGATGAAATAAAATTACAGCTTTTTGGTAAAGACCATCATTCTACTGTTTTCAGAAAAAGAAATGAGGCCTTTAAAGAAAAGAATACAGTCCCTACAGTCAAACATGGTGGAAGTTCACTGATGTTTTGGGATTGCTTTGCTGCTTCAGGCACTGGATGTCTTGACGGTGTGCATCTGAAGACTACCAAAGAATTCTAAGGTGCAATTTAGGGTTCAGTGTCAGAAAGTTGGATCTCTGTCAGATGTCATGGGTCTTACAGCAGGACAATGACTAGAGATGAGCGAATCGAACATGGCGAAGTGGAATTCGTTTCGAAGATCAGGAAAAATTTGATTCGCGCCGAATCCGAAAATTAGCAAACTTCGGATGCACGAATCGATAGTTCCCAAAAATGGCGGCGACATGTGTGGCGACGGAGCGGGGATCTCTGGGAAGGCACGCAGACAAGGCGCGCTGACCCATAATGCATTCATTCATGAACGTGATCGCATTAGCCAATCAGCAGCCAGCCAGCCAGCACTGTGTAATGGTGGAGCTATAAATTGCGGCCATCTTAGAATTCTCCATTAGCCTCCGGTCATTCAAGAGAGACAGACCTCTGTGTATTAGGGACAGAGTTAGGGCCACAGAGACTTTAGGGCCACAGAATCGTTACTTAGGGACACAGAATCGTTACTTAGGGACACAGAATTGTTACTCAGGGACACAGAATTGTTACTCAGGGACACAGAATCGTTACTCAGGGACAGACACAGAATTGTTACTCAGGGACACAGAATTGTTACTGAGGGACACAGAATCGTTACTCAGGGACACAGAATTGTTACTCAGGGACACAGAATTGTTACTCAGGGACAGACACAGAATTGTTACTCAGGGACACAGAATTGTTACTCAGGGACAGACACAGAATTGTTACTCAGGGACACAGAATTGTTACTCAGGGACACAGAATTGTTACTGAGGGACACAGAATCGTTACTCAGGGACACAGAATCGTTACTCAGGGACACAGAATTGTTACTCAGGGACACAGAATTGTTACTCAGGGACACAGAATTGTTACTCAGGGACAGACACAGAATTGTTACTCAGGGACACAGAATTGTTACTGAGGGACACAGAATTGTTACTGAGGGACACAGAATCGTTACTGAGGGACACAGAATCGTTACTCAGGGACAGACACAGAATCGTTACTCAGGGACACAGAATTGTTACTCAGGGACACAGAATCGTTACTCAGGGACACAGAATCGTTACTGAGGGACACAGAATCGTTACTCAGGGACACAGAATTGTTACTCAGGGACAGACACAGAATTGTTACTCAGGGACAGACACAGAATCGTTACTCAGGGACACAGAATTGTTACTCAGGGACACAGAATCGTTACTGAGGGACACAGAATCGTTACTGAGGGACACAGAATCGTTACTCAGGGACAGACACAGAATTGTTACTCAGGGACACAGAATTGTTACTCAGGGACACAGAATCGTTACTCAGGGACAGACACAGAATTGTTACTCAGGGACACAGAATTGTTACTGAGGGACACAGAATCGTTACTCAGGGACACAGAATTGTTACTCAGGGACACAGAATCGTTACTCAGGGACACAGAATTGTTACTCAGGGAGGGACACAGAATTGTTACTCAGGGACAGACACAGAATTGTTACTCAGGGACACAGAATTGTTACTCAGGGACAGACACAGAATTGTTACTCAGGGACACAGAATTGTTACTCAGGGACACAGAATTGTTACTGAGGGACACAGAATTGTTACTCAGGGACACAGAATTGTTACTCAGGGACAGACACAGAATTGTTTCTCAGGGACACAGAATTGTTACTCAGGGACACAGAATCGTTACTGAGGGACACAGAATCGTTACTGAGGGACACAGAATCGTTACTCAGGGACAGACACAGAATTGTTACTCAGGGACACACAGAATCGTTACTCAGGGACACAGAATTGTTACTCAGGGACACAGAATCGTTACTGAGGGACACAGAATCGTTACTCAGGGACACAGAATTGTTACTCAGGGACAGACACAGAATTGTTACTCAGGGACAGACACAGAATCGTTACTCAGGGACACAGAATTGTTACTCAGGGACACAGAATCGTTACTGAGGGACACAGAATCGTTACTGAGGGACACAGAATCGTTACTCAGGGACAGACACAGAATTGTTACTCAGGGACACAGAATTGTTACTGAGGGACACAGAATCGTTACTCAGGGACACAGAATCGTTACTCAGGGACACAGAATCGTTACTGAGGGACACAGAATCGTTACTCAGGGACACAGAATCGTTACTCAGGGACAGACACAGAATTGTTACTCAGTGACAGACACAGAATTGTTACTCAGGGACACAGAATTGTTACTCAGGGACAGACACAGAATTGTTACTCAGGGACACAGAATTGTTACTGAGGGACACAGAATCGTTACTCAGGGACACAGAATTGTTACTGAGGGACACAGAATTGTTACTCAGGGACACAGAATTGCTACTCAGGGACACAGAATTGTTACTCAGGGACAGACACAGAATTGTTACACAGGGACACAGAATTGTTACTCAGGGACACAGAATCGTTACTGAGGGACACAGCATCGTTACTCAGGGACACAGAATCGTTACTCAGGGACAGACACAGAATCGTTACTCAGGGACACAGAATCGTTACTCAGGGACACAGAATCGTTACTCAGGGACAGACACAGAATCGTTACTCAGGGACAGACACAAAATTGTTACTCAGGGACACAGAATTGTTACTCAGGGACACAGAATCGTTACTCAGGGACACAGAATCGTTACTGAGGGACACAGAATCGTTACTGAGGGGACACAGAATCGTTACTCAGGGACACAGAATCGTTACTGAGGGACACAGAATCGTTACTGAGGGACACAGAATCGTTACTCAGGGACACAGAATTGTTACTCAGGGACACAGAATCGTTACTCAGGGACACAGAATCGTTGAATTAAAGAGTATGTCAGACAACACGCAGAGGAGTGGCAGAGGAGGCAATGTTTCAGGAGCGAGCAGACGTGGCAGCAGAGGAAGGGGTCGAGGCAGCACTAGTCGCAGCCAGAGGCCAGTGCTCCCGGTGTCATCCAGCGGTCGTGTCTCCACCGACAACCCTGCCGTCATCGATTGGTTGGCTCGGTCGTCTTCCTCTTCCCAGGTCACCTCTGACACCTACAGCCAATGGTCGGTGGGTACGTCAGACACAACCGTTAGTTGGCATGGCCCGGGAGCAAGCCCACTGAAATCACGTGTCCTCTACCTGCCCCTGTCCTTTGGTGTTCCCTCACCAAGCGAAGTATCGCATGCTGTGGGCTCAGCCCCACTGTACAGTGAGGAAGAGCTAACAGAGGGCGGTCAGGAACGGGGGGGAGACATCCGCCTCTTCAGCAGCCAGGCGAAGAAGTACTGGCGAGGAGAGTGGCTCGGTAGCCGGTCTAGAGACAGGTCTGTCTCCTGACCCACACGCAGCTGAGGGGGCTAGTAGTGAGGCGGAGACCCTAATTGATGATGATGAGGCTGATCGCACTTGGCAGCCTCGTCGTCATCAGGCTATTGCTTCCGCATCATCAGGAGAAGAGGGTGCCAGCTTGGCAGCGAGCAAAACAGTCGGTGGGTTGCCCAGGAGGCAGCAGGGTCACAGCAGTGTCAGTGGAGGCAAACGGCCACGGAGTAGAGCACCAGCTCCACTGCAGCCTACCACCACGGCCAGTAGTGGTGCCGGAGTGCACGGGAGGAAGTAGCAGTCAGCCAGTGAGGAGTAGCGGGGGCAAAGTTTCCTACTCGGCGGTGTGGCAATTTTTCGTCAAGCCGCCCGAGGAAGTAAACGTAGCCGTATGTCGACTATGTGGCCAGAAAGTCAACCGTGGCCAGGGGGCCCATGTTGGGACTACAGCGTTGCGTCAGCATATGCAGCGTCGCCATTCGGTGGCCTGGGAAAACCGTGATAAAGATACGGCGGTTCTGCCTGCCCCAGCCCCGCTCCATCACCCGCTCCGTTACTTGCTCCGTCACCCCCGACGTCAATCGCCCCCTCTATCAGCCAGTCAAGGCCCGTAATCTGCCATGGGCCCCCGTACCGACTCCTCATGCTGCTGCCAGGCCCGTAATCTGTCATGGGCCCCTGTACCGCCTCCTCATGCTGCTGCCAGGTCCAGAGTGTGTCATGGGTCCCTGTACGGCCTCCCATTGCTGCTGTCTCCATCGCCCCACTCTGCCATGTGCCACTTTCAGGTCTGCTCACACTGCTGGTGGGTTCCATTTTGTCATAGGGTGCTGGCAGATTACGGGCCTCCCATTGCTGCTGCCAGGCCCGTAATCTGCCAGGCCCGTAATCTGCCATGGGCCCCCGTACCGACTCCTCATGCTGCTGCCAGGCCCGTAATCTGTCATGGGCCCCTGTACAGGTACCGCCTCCTCATGCTGCTGCCCAGGTCCAGAGTGTGTCATGGGTCCCTGTACGGCCTCCCATTGCTGCTGTCTCCATCGCCACACTCTGCCATGTGCCACTTTCAGGTCTCCTCACACTGCTGGTGGGTTCCATTTTGTCATAGGGTGCTGGCAGATTACGGGCCTCCCATTGCTGCTGCCAGGCCTGTAATCTGTCATGGGCCCCCGTACCGACTCCTCATGCTGCTGCCAGGCCCGTAATCTGTCATGGGCCCCTGTACCGCCTCCTCATGCTGCTGCCAGGTCCAGAGTGTGTCATGGGTCCCTGTACGGCCTCCCATTGCTGCTGTCTCCATCGCCACACACTCTGCCATGTGCCACTTTCAGGTCTCCTCACACTGCTGGTGGGTTCCATTTTGTCATAGGGTGCTGTATGGCCTCCCATTGCTGCTGCCTCCACCACCACACTGTGGCTCCACACTCTGGTTTTGGCCCCTTGACTGCCCAAATGAGTGAAGTGTGCGGTGATTCTAAGATTGACGGCACTCATCTGCATGTCATACTGACTGACAGTATTATTTCTCTTCCCCAGCAGACTCCAAGGGCATTTAAATTAAAGGTACAGTGTTCTGCACTAATATAAAGGCTCTCTGAAGCCTAGAAACACCCTTTTTATAAGTTAAATTTGCAGCGAATATATTCGACTCGAATCAAATTTATTCCGCGAATTCGCCGAATCAGCCGAATTGAATTTTTGAATAATTCGCTCATCTCTAACAATGACCCAAAGCACACGTCAAAGAGCACTCAGAAATGGTTTCAGACAAAGCACTGAAGAGTACTGAACTGACCAGCAATGAGTCCAGATATCAATCCAATAGAGCACCTATGGAGAGATCTCAGCAGTTGGGAAAAGGAACCCTTCCAAGCTGAGAGACCTGGAGCAGCTGGCAAAAGAAGAGTGGTCCAAAATTCCAGTAGAGAGGTGTAAGAAACTCATTGATGGTTATAGAAAGTGATTAATTTCAGTTATTTTTTCCAAGGGGTGTGCTACCAAATACTAAAGTGAGGGTGCCAATAATTTTGACCAGTTCATTTTTGGAGTTTTACGTGGCTTGTATCAGATTTGGCTTTTTGTTTCTCCACTTTTTTGTGTCAATACAAACAAAAGAAATAAACATGAGAATGCCTAAACATTTGTAATTGTAACAATTTTCTGGGCAAAGTGGTGCATTATCTGACAGAAACGCAGGGGAGCCAATATTTTTGGACGTGACTGTATATTTTCCGTGTATATGATGTTCACTATCCACATAAAGGTTAATAATGTCCACCATAAAAAGAAATCAATCCATATATCTTCTTAATGTTCATTATCTGTGCTCTTCCACCACCAAATGTACTATAAACACTGACTAGAGCTCCAGGTTGGTAATATTATAAATCAGCTAATAGTGTGTGATACTCAGAGTAATGATTTGCAGCTTTGAACGGTCCTCCTCTCAAAAGACCTCTCAGAAGAGATATTTACTCTAGTTCAATCAGTCACATAGGGGGGAGAAAGAAGAAAGCTCCCATAGCGTAAACCTTTTAAAAATCTTTATTGCATAAAAAATATTTAATTAACTCACATTAAAGGAGAAATACAGCCAAAGCTCATTTGGCTGTACTTGTTCTGTGCAGTTTGTTCTGCACTCCTATGACCCGTTTTCAGCTAGACAATGGTCCCTAGAACAAGTATCACAGCTGGAAGATTCTCCTTCTCTTTCTGTTTTGGTGTGATATTAAAATGTTGGACTTTCCACCATTTTCATTTGCAGAGACAGTGATCACAGTTCAAATAGAGAGGGGGAATCTCCACAGCCAGCACGCCGACATAAATAAAAACCAGACAGCAGTTTTAATTATTTTTATTTTGTATGTTGGGATACTTATGTCATTCTCCCTTGGGCTGGTTATTGGTAAGACATAGTTACTTAGTTAGAATGGCTGAAAAAAGTCCATCTAGTTCAACCATAAAAAAAAAAAAAAAAAGTTATAATCGTATACCCACTATTGATCCAGAGGAAGGTAAAAAAAAAACCCAGTAATGAAAGTTCCAATTTGCTCCTGCTGGGAGAAAATTCTTTCCTGATCTCGAAAGAGGCAATCGGATATTCGCTGGTTCAACTTTACCTATAAATGTTAGTATCCAGTTATATTCTGTGTATCTAGGAAAGAATCCAGGCCTTTTTTAAAGCAATCCACTGAGCTATAAAATCAACATTTTCTACCCTATGAAGTCCTCATTACAGTGCTGTCTATAACACAATAATTTATTGTAGTTTACCAAGGGAAGGCATATTTAGTTCTGGAACATTCATGCCACGTTTCTTGCTTATTATTGTTTATTTCAACATCTTTCTGAGGCTGACTGAAAACAGTTCATCAGGATTCCTGCTGATAGCAGATTGTAAACAAAAGAAGTGTCGGTGATAAAAAAGTGCCCCCCCCAAAACAAAAAAAATCCATACCTGACCCTTAGCCAAGCATGCAGCCTGGCAGGTCAGGAAAGGGGGGGGGGGGGTGAGCGAGCACCCCCCTTCCCCCTCCTGAACCATACCAAACCACCTGCCCTTAATTTAGAGGTGTGCTTTGGGGGAGGGGGTCCAGGATCTGTCTGGGGTCTTGGGGGGGGGGCATTTTTATTTCATTTTGGGATAGGGTTCCCCTTAAAACCTATACCAAACCTAAAGGTCTGGTATGGATTTTGGGGGGGAACCCACACCATTTTTTCAAAAAATGTTGACGTGGGGTTCCCCTCAAAGTCCCAAAGGCCTGGTATCTACTGGGGAGGACCCCCAGGCTGTTTCTTAAAAAAAAATTTTCACTGGCTTTTCTTTTGTTTACATTCTGCTGTCAGCAGTACACACTAAACTGAGCATGTGCAGAGTGTCTCCACACATATGTCTTATCAGGAGATAAGAGGTGGACACTGGAAGAAGGGGAGGATCAGTGAAGTCAGGCTCAAACAGCCTTTTTACACAATGCAGAGGATTAACTCCTTAGGTTCCACAGTGAGTATAACAAGCATGCTTTACTGCATATACAGACTGATTTTACTGTTGTGGGTTTAGTCACACTTTAAGGACACAGCGGCCCTGCTGCTTTCTAACATCCACAGCTATTCACAATGAATTTGGATCATTATAGAAGGAATTAAAAAATGACATCATCCAAATGAACAAATGCATTCGTTATTTTTTTTTTTTGTTATAACATATATCAAATTCAATGCCATTTGTTTCTATATCCATTCGGAAATTCGGATGCATGAAAATTAGATTTTTTTGCCTGAAAAACAAACTTAAACGAACCAAATTGCACATGTCTACTTACCAGTAAATGTTAACTCAGAACGTGTTCTCATTAAAAAGGAATATAATGTCCCTTAAAAACAGCTTCTATTAAAAAGTAATGTAAGCAGGGCTCTGAAGAAATGTTTTTCCATTTGTTGCATGCACATTCCTAGGGCAGGTCACATTCTTGCACAATGTGATGCATGGCATCTCTGCAAAGATTCATCATTTAGTGCAGTGGTCTCTAAACTGCAGCCCTTTGCCTGCCTCTATTCAGCCCTTGGGGTACTATTCCTCCCACTAACACCAACGAGGCACCATTTCTTCCACTGGTACCAACTATGGGGCATTTTTCCTTCCACTGAAACCAATGATGGGGTACAATTCCTCCCACTAATATAAACAATTAGATACTATTCCTCCAACAAATACCAAGGATGGGGCACTATTCCTCAACAAATACCAACTGGGATGGGGCACTATTCCTCCAACTCTGATACCAATGATGGGCACTATTCCTCCCACTGACTCCAAAGATGGGGCACTATTCGTCCCACTGACACCAATGATGGGGCACTATTCGTCCCACTGACACCAATGTTGGGGCACTATTCGTCCCACTGACACCAATGATGGGGCACTATTCGTCCCACTGACACCAATGATGGGGCATTATTCCTCCCCCTGACACAACTGAATGGGCACCATTCCTGCCACTGACATCAAATTGATGGGGCACTATTCTCCCTCATTGACTCCAATGATGGGGCACTATTCCTCCCACTGACATCATTGATAGGGGCACTATTCCTCCCTCTCAATGAATGGGACATTCCTCCCACTGTCACCAGATGGGGCACTATTCCTCCCACTGACATCAATGATAGGGTACTATTCCTCCCTCTGACACCACTGATGGGGCACCATTCCTCCCACTGTCACCATTGATGGGGCATTATTCCTTACACTAATATCAATGATGGGGCAATATTTCTCAAACTAATACCAATGATGGGGCACTGTTCCTCCAACTAATACCAATGACTGGACACTATTCCTCCAATTCCCCACCTTTCACTGACTACAAGCACTATGTAATTTTTTTTACTCCTACTGACGCTGGGACATTTTCTACGCCCACTGGCCAATCCGGCTCTCCTAAAGTCTGAAGGACAGTAAACCGGCCCTTTGTTCAAAACGTTTGGAGACACCTGATTTAGTGTTACAAGCCCCGAAGTATACACAACACTGACAAATAAGTATAGTTACCTAAAAAGACACCTCTACATCTACCTGTACAAGACTTTGGTTTTGGATAAAGACTCCTCTACATATACTGGTTTAAGAAATCCCTCAGATATTGTGATGCTTTTTATTGTATTATCACTATCTCCTTCAAATTTATTGTAGCAGCTCTTCTAATTTAAGCACAAAAAGGGATAAGTGAGCACTGGAAGTCACAAATAGCCGCTAAAACACCAAAAGGTACCAAGAAAACCTTCAAAAATGCAAACAAAAAATAGGGTGTAGCGCTAAAATAGTTATAATCATATGCAAACCATAATAATGAGATCATAAAATAATCGGTGACAAAGTGCTAATTGCAATAAAGTGACTCAGTGGTATCATAAAATAGTGGCACTCTCAAACATCAATATATGGTGACATCACGCCGCTGGCACCACGTTGGTCCCGGCGACCATCTTTGGAATCTATATCTGGTCAGTTCAAGCTGTTTTATCCTTTTCATTGCTGTTATTTGGAATAAACAACCATTGTTTTAAAACAATATCACGCTATTGGCCTCCTCTTTCTGGGGCTCCTTGGGAGCTTTTAACCACCCACAGAGCAGTTGTATCATTGCTGACAGTGGAGTTTGAGCAGTGAGGGACATCAAACCAGACCAGACCTGACCTTTTCCATCTTAAAGGGACCTCCAGGTTACTGAGAGTGTTATCTCTAAATGCGCTCTTTGATTGCACATCTGGTGAGTGCGCAGTCTTTACATGTTTGGCCACATCACCATCGTACAGGATAAGATCACCAGATATTGAAAATCATCATGATCTCATATGCACTTTACTTTGGACTATATGAGGATCATTGATTGATTTCTTGGCACCTTACACACCATTGGTCACTACACAGTGACGTAATTTATCACTACTCAGTCACTTTATTTCATTGTCAGCACTTTATCGTTGGTATCACTTTTATGTATTTATTTGCTCTATTATATGTACATATATGCATATTAATGTTTGAGAGGGACACTATTTTATCATACCACTGAGTCACTTTATTG